CTGCTTTTTTGGTTGTGCTGTCAAGTTTTAACATGGAATTTGATGCAAGTTACACACTGAGCATAGCCATTAGAGTGATGCAAAATTTGAAATTTTCGCTCCACAATACATAAACGATTCCAAATCTAATCCTGACTAACCTCACAAAATTTGAACCCATTTGGTGAGAAACTGAGATGGCACAAACCATTTGAAGTTTGTATGGGAATTACTATGGTAAAACCAAGATTTTTGTTCATGTCTATCTAATAATTCACCATATCGGTCTGCTTCAAAAGCTTTCAACTGTACTTGTAGGAAGTTTTCCCAGCTACAACTTTGCTCAAGACCACTTTTTGATTAAATGCAAGGATCGAAAGTTATCAATGGTTCAATGCGCTGATGTCTTATGATCATGCTCAATCAACTGCTCAGCAGGCAACATTGGTGTTTCTGGGGCGTTGAATAGGACACAAAAATCATGGCTACTATGTCACACTGCAAAATACAGTGTTGCCTACAGAGCAGCTGCTTGATCATGTCATAAGTTTACCAATCTCTTAAATAATTAATAACTTTTTCCTGTCTCGTTTTACATAGAAATGATCTTGAGCAAAGTTGTAGCTGAGAAAATTTTCTATAAGAATGGCTATCGAACTGTTTCGCAGCTCAATATGGCAAAATACTAGAAGGCAATGAACAAAAAATTGAGATTTCCCATAGTAATTTACATGTAAACTTCAAATGGTTTGTGCGACGTCTGTTTCTAACCAAATGAGTTGTAACTTTTGGAGGCTAATCAGGACCCGATTTGAAACCATTTAAGCACTGTGGAGCAAAAAAGTCAAATTTTGCATCAGTCTAATGGCCATCCAATAGGCCTTATGTATTCTGAATCTCTTTTTTTTCTAACCGAGATGGCAAGCTACACTGAAAACGAACACCCCTTTACAGCACTCGGCAGTCAAACGATGACGATGACAAATTTTGTACGTTTCCCTTATTTAAGCATTTAGATTAACATTCTTAACCCACCTTCTTTTCTGTATTTTGCTGATGTAGGTCAGTGAACAGAAAAAAAAACCAAAGATAAAAAAATACATTGAGTATTGAGTGATACCGGTTCATCTATCTATTCTCTCGATGGTCATAGCAAGCGAACACGTGATTGGTTGATTACGGCTAAAAATTTTGTTCAATTTTCAATAGTTAACCATTCATAAACAATTATTATATTTATACCAAACAAATGTCACATTCAATCTGAATAAAATTGTGCCATTAAAATTGAATTTCATTCATAACTGACCATGTTATTAGCGTTCAAAACCTGACACTATTTCGTCACGCAAGTTTTTTATTTGCTCCCCAGTATAGTCCACAAACACGTAGTCCCACCAAGGGGTGGCTACTCTACACCTGAGTACTGCGAACTAACTCAAAATGCTTGTCATCTGGGAGCCGAGTCGAACTGTCAAACGGGAGCCAAACATTCAAAAGAGCTCAGAAGTCACGTGGGTAGTTATTGTTTGAACCACAAGTAAAGGTATTGCCACCTACTGAAAACAAATTAAGACTTATAATGATGAAACTGCTTACTACCAGCAAGAACTTGCAGTTCCAGCCAGCTTTCAGCAGTTGTTCTTCCTCCTCAGCAGCCAGTCCCAGTGGTCACTTCAAAAGGAACATCGCTGATCAAACAGGCTCTCGAAACAGCTGTTCTTCTAAACATCTGAAATTTCACCTGTAACGCAACGATCCCATCAGCATCGATTGATCCAGTAGTCGTATCAGTAGTACCATTGAAAATGGTTATATCTAACTCCGATCCTCTCCTCGTTAGCACCATGCAAGTAAGCTACAGCGTGAAGATTCGATCACAGCACATCAAACATAGTGTGGTGAGCAACATTCCAACCGTGGCCCCTCCAATAAAATCCGCCTCTACAGATTTCAAACAACCGATTAACACCCAATTCCTACTCCGACGGCAGCGCTACCAACTATTAAGGCCCACGCACATTAGATCCGGATCGGACGCGTTGTGGCAAATCTACAGCCGAATCTATTGTCTAACTGTCAAATTTACGTCAACGCAACGCAAACGGATCTAATGTGGGTGGCCCTTTACCCCCGTGGATTGTTCAGCCAGAGCAGCCACCGCCATTTCCGACGCCGAAGAGGAGAAGGACGTTGAAGTAACCGCTACCAATGTTTCCGGTGAGTGCGATCCTCGTCCGGACGTCTACCCCATCAACGATCAACCGGACGAAATCGAAGTGAAAACCGGTCAGGAAGACGAAGAACAAATCAAGCTGACAGACTATCTTCGTCGACTTTCTCTTTGCATTCCCACGGCCATGTGAAGACCAAGTGCAGGGTCGTCATGAGACGTGATCAAGTGCACAAGATCGCTGATGTTCTACTTTAAAGGAGACTGCAAAATCACGGTGGTGTATCGCAGAAACTGGACCGTGTCACGATCATCCGGAAGGCACAGCAGAAGCACCAAAAAATGAAGGATGGATGTCCACCGTCTGTAGAACGGCACAGTGGTAATTCAGAGCTCGGTTCGCAGTTTCATCCAGCGGCAGTTTGCCAAGCCAAGGGAACGAGATTTTGAGTTTTTGGTCAGGCAGATCGAGGCAGGATAATCAAATCAATCAATTTAAGTGTCTCCGAGTTTCGCTGAGTTATTGAGTTCTGTAAACATGTTTTTGATTGACAGCAGTTTTTCGGTATTGCAAGAAGGGGGCACCTTCATATGTTGCTGTGATGCAAAAAGTGAGAAAGCAAATGACAGTGATCTTTCTCACTGAGCAATGTGAGTTACTCGAGGTGTATCAAAAGCAACTCAGCAATCGCTCATGATTAGGAGCTGTCTTGCCCCTAGTACCAAACAGCGCCAATGACTGCGCCCGGGTGTGCCCAAGTTTGATTTTGACACACTGTGTAGCAGTGTTGGAAAAATCAGAAATCATTTGATATTTTTCCGCTCTCGAATCATGCGTGATATTGGAACAAAATATCATGCTTGATATTGATTTTACAAGCTCCTTTGATATTGCGAGACTATTCACAACGTGCAAACATCAAGCTGAGAGTTGACTCGTCACAAAAATGATTTCATTGCACATCATTTTCTTAGAAAGAGAAAGCATAGTTTGCTATCTCTTTTTAATCTTCACCGATGGCAGACGCGAAGGGACCGCTGCAAGCCATTATGGAAGTTTCGGTTGCATTAGGATGTAAAGCAAAAATCATTAAACTCAATCTCACCACAGTTTGGTGAGATTTGCAGTTGGTGAGTTTTGTTAGCTTGCTATTCCAAGCTGCGATATCACAGCTTGCAAAATCAACCGCAGTTGTTTGCTTGTTGATTTTTGTCTACGAAAATCAAGCGTGATCTTGAGCGTTGGTGAGATTTGATTTTTTGATATTTTCCCAACACTGCTGTGTAGAGTGACCTTGAGTCCTACCATGTAGGTTTCTTATAGCTTGTTTACGTTTGGAATCATATATATTTAAGTTGGGCGACAACTGTTCGCATTTGACAGCTATATCCCACCCCTGATACAGAACTATAAGACATATGAACAGTTTCGTGCAAATCGGAGAGGGTTGAGTTGGGTCGTTGGCTCATCTAGCTTAGAACTGCCCTATAGAAAACCACAATTTGGTGAATATGAAAAATTCTCGCTTGTCAAAAGGATTTGAAAACGACAACCAAAGCCTACTTGATCCCGTGGCCTCATTCTCGTTTGCATTGATGAATGCACAACACAAGCAATCGCAGTAGCCATCCACTCCAAATCCACAGCTTTACAGCCAACTGGAGACCGAAACCAATTTTTACAGCTCTGCGGCACCATTGCTGCGCTCAAGTACATATCCACTACGAATGTGGTTATTTATTGGCCATCTCCAGCATCGGCATTTGGCCCCCATCTAACGTACGGAAAACAAACCCTCGAGCCGGGCCATCGCCTCCCGAAGTGAAGTGGACGCTCGAAGCGATACGAGATCCATCCGTCCGCCCGTCGAGTGCCTCATAAACCATAGACCCCGGGAGAAATCCAATCCCCATCGCTCTCCCCGGCGGTTTTTTTTTTCTCATTCCAAAAAAGAAAATAAACGAAGACTATCAACAAGTGAAAGATAAAAGGATACTTATACTTGTTTTTATTTGCTATCCTTCGGCCGATACCAGGTCCAACGGACGAGCGATACCCACAATCAATCATCTAGACCCTTCCTTCCTCCGCACCGTGATCCCATTTGTACCTTCCCGACGATCGCAGTAGCTTCCAAGAGGTAAGACGATTCCTTTATTATCTCTCTTTTGTGATGGCACTGTCCACTCCCTTGGTCACAATTACGCCTCGATGGCTCGGCTTACTTGGATCTCCACCGTCCCTGCTCAAATATGCTCTATGGCCACGTACGCAAGCAGGCTTTGGCAAGAAAAGCGGGGGGGCGAGAGAGGCTCCCTTACATTACCCAGATAATCCGATTCTCGTGGAAAAATGATACACACGCACATCGCTCCACCACCACCACCACCAGCACCGACAAAGGCGACGACGACCACGGCGAGGGAATGTAAAAGTCATGTCCTTCGGGAGCCGTCTCTTGAGAAAGGATGATTTCGTGACAAACATGTTAAAAAAAAAAAGAAAAAAGATACCAAGGTTGAACGCCTCGGTTCGATGGAAAAGGTCACTTGAGACAACCCCGCGGGGGTTGAGGTAGCAGGGGAGAAAAGGGGTTTTCCTCTGAATCGATGTGAGAGGTGTGTATAATGGGCATGGTTGGAAAATTGACAGTTTTATAAATTTCAATATGAGAGTGCCTTTCTCACGTTTTTTTTTTTCCGGGGATCGAATGGGTCAGATGAAAAATGATTGGCCGGTGATGGTCGAAAACCGATTGCGGGGGAATCGGCGAATCAAATCTATGTGATGGACTTTGCGAATCCGGGAACGTTACGTGTTAAATTGAGAATTGGACTCCCCGAGCCATTAGGAAAATTGGCCATCGGGAGGCGGTGGGTGCGGTTGCTAAGGGAGATAAACGGAATCGAGAATTGAGGGGGTGGTTGCTTCGATTTGCTTCGAGAAAGGTCACATTTCGATTTCGAATCCCTGGTTGCTTTGATTCCTCACCGAAAACAGTGCGCTCTAAGAAGGCTGAGCCGCCTTTCCCCCTTCTTCGGTATTCCGAGTAAATTTAAACAGTGGAGTTTACTCAACCGTTATCCCATAAACAATCAAACCCAATTCGCAAAAGACCAACAAAGGCGTATTCTAGTGAATCTGATGGGCTGTGCAGGTCATTATTAAGGTCACTGATTAAAATGCTAATTCTTCCCTTTTCACATTCCTTCGCTCACCCTCGGGGGACAGATTCCAACCCAGCAGATCCACGTATTCGTGTGTGTGTGCGAATCCCAGGAAAATTAAATAAAAATTAAAGCAAATTAAACCTTCCCTTTTCATTAACCCAGACCAGACTTCCGCACGCACGTGGAAGTAAAAAAGTGGCAGTGCCTTCTTGGATTAACCCACAGTCAGGCTGATGTTGGGGGGGTGGATGACTTTAATCATCACCATCGTCGCCGTCGTCATGATCGGTATAATTAAATTCACCATCATGCTGCATGTCCCTTTGTGGCGGAGCCATTCTTTCGGGATCGTAAAAAATGACATACAAACATAAAGGCAACCGTCAGATCCATCCGTTCAACAAACGAAAGACATGGGTCCGTTCTTGTGGTAGTAAACTCTCACATACACATGGCCTGCTCTGGTTCTACCCGTTCTACGAAATGTTGGTCTGACAGGGATGAGCAGCAAATCTAACCGGAATAAATGTTTCCACGGAGCAAGATTTAATTAATGTGGCCCATTTGTTTAACAAGCGGTGCCCAACAACTGACTGCCTTCCAAAACAGTTCTTGTCAACCTTAAGCCTCCAGCAGCATTTTCATTGCGTGAAAAAGCGTAATCTTGGCGATACAGCAGACTTCTGGGAAACGTCGTCAGATTAATTGGGCTTCCGTGTGGCGACGTTGATGACAATTAATTGGTTTTGGGGAAAGAAGGCGATCGAAGTAGGCGTAGGCTAAAAAGTGCTTTAAAATGGTCTATGTGGACCACTTGTGCGTCATTGGGCAAGGAAAGGGATCGGAAGGGCTTGGATGCGTTTGTGGACTTGACGCTGAGAGTTAAATTAGATTTATATGCTTCCTGAATACGCTATGGATAATAGATTTTTTTTTGAGCCAGCTGATTTGAACTGCATGATAAGGAAAAAGATGTAGCTGTTGACACCACTGGGCTTCAGCTGCACGCTATTTCGAGGCTACTCATTTTTGAGTCAAAAACCACTCAGTCCAGTCAAAAGGGAAGTTACCCAAAAATGAGTAAACATGCTTTTACTCAAATCTGAGTAAACGTGCCTATGGAGAAAACTGAGTAACGTTTACTCAGATGATGACATTTGTCAACTGAGTAAACGTTACCCATTTCTACAGAAGCGAATGAATGCGCCATTAATGCCTTATATTTAAATTATTTCATCCAGGAATAATATCAAAAAGAATACGAGAACGATAATTCTGTATTTATTGATACCGCAACACCAAATCATTTCGTAATAAAAAAAAGAGAAATCAGAAAATACATATAATCAAATTGCTTCTGCCTGAATGGCCTCCATCAAATTTGAACAGACATCGTTCACACATTTTCGTGAACTGTTTGTTAGTGTTCTATAAATCAAAATGGAAAAAACGTCTTGGTACATCTGCAGCTTGCTTGGGACTTTTTGACCGAAGACATGGAAACTCTTCCAAAATAGATCTAGCGTATCGATAAAAGAGCCGCTGGTCCAAAGTACCACCTCGTTGAACACAATGTTGTAGGATCCCGATTTGAATGTGTCCGCTACACAGACGATATGTGGTTCATCGTTCGAGACTTCAATGTGATGTGTGAGGTCCTATAACAGGGTGTCGACTCAAAGTCGAAAATAAAATTCCCTGACTTTCCCTGACTTTCCAGTCGGTTTTAAGAAATATTCCAGTCATCAAAACTTCGTTATTTTAACCTAAGAAGCTACAACGTGATGTGCTTTATTATACCGTAGTGTAAATTAAGATTAGTTTAAAATGAGCAGCAGGGTAAGCTTTCGAAGATATCAAGAATAGCATACTCATGGCACGTACAACAGAACTTGATACTAATACAATTTTTACAAAACATATGACCGACTATCTACAAAGGATGTGAATATGCCTAGGGCTATAAATACATATTACAATATAATAATGAATAACTACTGCTAACAACTAGGCTCACTATTAATTACTAAGTAATAATATGAATATTTAATCAATGTCACCAAGCTCTCAATTTGTGTTCATAATTTCACAGCCAAATAAAAATCAACCCGTAGACGATCCTTTCTCTTAACATATAAATTATTGTAAAATAGTAGAGCAGTGATTATTCTTGCTTTGGCAACCGAACCTGAGGATGCACTGCTCATGCATTAGTCAGTTTCGTACTCTCTGGAACTCCATATGACAACCACAGACATGGCAAAATAATTTAAGTTTAATTATCATTAACATTTTATTCTCTCGGTGAGTTCACATTACAACGAGAAATTGCAAGTTGAATTTATTTTCATTTTCAGATTACTTTTAAAAATGTTTATCATTTGAGCAGAACAATTTTCTCCTGCAAACTCTCGGCTTCTTTTTGAGCATCTTGAGTTTTCGGAATCGAGAGCTTCTTTCATACGACGATCCTTGTCTACATGGAAAGCGAATGAGATTTTTCGAACTCGCTGAATAAGTTTATTCAAAATTTGTAAGTTTTCCAACCCGCCTGCATGAGTAACACCATCATAGATCTAACGTTGCGCTACGACTGAAGGCCCAAACGCAATGTGGGCGGAAGCGGAACGGAAACGGAAAGTTTGACAATTGTCACAAATGACATCAAGATGCCTAACCGCAGTCGATTTGATTCTAACTAGTTTTCAATCCGACAAATAGGCTTACTCAGATCGGGCTTTTCCGCTGCCACTGCCGTTCCGCTGTCATTGCGCTTGGGCCTTGATAGGAAAGTCCTCATGTCTTCACAAAGATATTCTGCATTTACCGAAAAACCTCTCTCTGCATTGGCGTTGTCATGCGATAAGCAGCAAATCATTTTCACAACCAACAATAGTTCTAAATACGCCGACCAATAACCTGTGCCAAAAAACGTCCAGTTGTTCCTTTTTGCGATCTTATTGATCAAATGTGCATTTACCTGTGCAATATTGTTCAGATAATCAATATTAATAAACCTTTCCATAATGCCTCTAACCATTTGAGACATCGCGTTGCACAAAAAAGACACCATAGGGTTGTCCGTCTGAAATTCGCATTGAAATGGCTTAACTTCGACACCAACTGATTTGAAGAAAGCTAGCTTAATACCACGTTCAGACTACTACAGAGTTATAACATGTTATAACGGTTGTCAAATAATTGCAACACAGAAACCACCATCAAGATAGTGCTATAACATGTTATACATCTGTAATCTGAACTTACTATTTACCATCAGCAGCGAGTCATTCAAACCGTTTTTAACATCTTGGTAGGAAGCGTTCATTCGATTTTGTCTTTCTGGACGCCTTGAATAAATTTTCGTATTTGCGGAGTAATTTTGCCCTCTGTAGGGCTGGTAGCGATCACTGCTGTCAGAAATAGTGATTTTAGTGACCATGTTGAATAAATAAGTGACCAAATAGTAACTTAAAGTTGTAAAAATAGTGTCTAAAAAGTGACCTAAGACCTAACACTAAAGCGACATATTCAATAGAAACTTTATAACCAAACCCACGGTATTAGTCACGGTATCTATTAATTTAAAAAAATCTGGAAAACCGGGAATCTTCAGGAAATTTTGTTTCCCTAAAATACCTGAAAGTCTCAAAGAATTTAAAAACAAAAAAAAAAACTTACTAAGGAAATTTAAAGAAAATGATGAATTTTAAAATACAACCATTTATTTTTTCTCGATATTTTTATTCACACTTTGAACTTTAAGATTCACAGTGGATTAATCTTCAGTAAGAAATAAATTTAAAAAAATAATTTTTTTTTTGGTTTTTGAAGACCATTGTCTTTCTGTAATGTTTCCGAAATTTTTCTAAATTTATGGAACTTTTGTGATCCCGAAATTTTCATGGAATTAGAACGAAATAATTAATATATTTCTATGATTTTCACTGAAGTTCTCAAGATTTTTCTGAAGTTCATAATACTTCCCTTAAATTATAAACATTAATTTAAAACTTCTTCAATAGTCTAGACTTTCTTGGTGCCTAAACGATTACTGAATTTCTTTAAAGTTCTCTAGACTACCCTGAATTTATCAGTATTTTTTAAGAACCCGCAACTTTACTGAAATTAATTAATTTGTCTTGAAGTTTTGACAATGTTCCTTAAGTATTATAACCATTATTAACACTCGCTTTTCCCTGAACTTATCTATGCTTACCTGAAGTTCTCTAAATTTGTTTAATAATCCAGCAAATTTTCTGATACATATTCATAATTCCCTGACGCTTCTGACATTTTAGGATAAATCATAGAATTCTTGGAATACCCTATAATTCCACGGAACTCCTTGTAAGTTGCTGCAAATTTGCTTAAGTTAATGGGATTATTCTGAAGCTATCTGATCATCCTCGAAGTACTCGGAACTTCGCTGAATATCATTAAACTATCTAGAAATATCTAAATTTAGTTCTCTGGAATTTCTAGAATATATCAATGCTTGCTAAAAGTTCTCTCTTTTTTTATTAATGGAACTTCGTTTATGTCTTCTAACCAACTAAGCTAAATTTTCACATTTTTGAAGTTCTTGAAATCTCCATGATATGACACCCTTAAAATATTATCACGTTTTCCGGATGTTCATAAAATTCTCTCGGAGCTTTGCTGAGGTTTTCGGAAATTCACTGAGCTTCTCGAAACTTTTTTAAGGTTTCTAATATTTCCTTGAAATTATTTGAACGACCCTTTGATTCTCTGATTTGTCTTGATGTTCTCGAAGCTTAAATTTGTACATGGAATACGAAACTTCAAGACATTGAATATTTTTAGACTTTGGACATACTTACTTGGAAAACTGAGGTAATTTTATCCAGAAAAATGAATAGACATCCATACATAGAGAAAGACGATTAAACGTCACAACGTAAAGAATAATTAATCTTGAAATAAATTTACGCTAAAAAAGTTGAAAATAGTTAGTTACAAGAAAAAGTGACTTTAGTGACTTGGCCTTAAAAAACTGACTTGAAAAAAGTAACCAAGTCACTAAAAAGTGACTCGCTACCAGCCCTGCCTCTGAACAGCAGCACTATTTTCCAACCATCGGTGACCGCAAAACTTTAACGGGAATATGGTAGATCCAGATTACATCGTGATAAAGGCTCGTCTTACTGGTACATCTTTGAAGATAGTGTAGATACCACGCAAATATTGGACAACATCCCAACTGATACTGCGAACACTATCCTTGAAGCGATCGTCAATGAAAAACTATTCAATCAGATCAAAAACAGAATCACTAACATGCAACATGGTTTCTTCAAAGGACGATCAACTAATACAAATTTACTTGAACTCGTCAACTATTCTTTGGTTGCAATGGATAATGGAAACCATGTAGAAGCACTCTATACCGATTATTGCAAAGCATTTGATCGTATTGATATACCCATGCTTCTTTTCAAATTACAAAAAATAGGAATTGAACCTGGACTTCTCAAATGGCTTGAGTCATATTTAACTAATCGCCAACAAATAGTTAGATTCAAAGGTGAAAAATCACTGTTACTTCTGGAGTCCCCCAAGGCTCGCATCTAGGCCTTCTTTTGTTTATTTTATTTGTAAACGACATCTCCTTTATTCTTAAAAACATAAAAGTTTTAATCTATGCGGATGACATGAAACTCTTTCTAGAAATAAGAAATAAAGAAGATATACAGACATAGGTACCAGATTGAAATAAACTTATTCTATGTTTGGTGTAACAAAAGCCTAAACGTTCAAAAATGTAAATCAATAGGGTTTTCGATCTTATTTCCGTCCTACTAAGCACAACCTGCGCTTTACCTCTCTTTTCTGAACGAGTTTAAACAAAAAATGTAATATTTCTGTCAAAGATGACTTCTAAATTTATTCACCTTTCTATACGTACCATTGGATTTGATAAAAAAAAGAGTCACAAATTATTGAGATATTGCTTAAAATATAACACTGCTTCTTGATTCTAAATTCGTCCTACGAGTTTCAATTCCGTCCAAGCGCATTGAAACGCCATTAGATTTTCTTCGTCCTACGGATAAACGTAGAAAAAGGGGATTCGCTAGGATTTTTTTTTTTTTTTTTTTTTTCTTTATTTTAGAGATTTTTAGCCTGAGGCTAGTTCATCTCTTAATTCGCTAGGAGCGCTTCTTTTGTTTTGAGAACAATGAGCGTAAATATTCATACAATGCGCTCTAACAGGATTTATGTTGTAGCTAATGAACTAACGCATCGGAACAAATCTATTATTGATTTGTGCACGGTGAAATCATTGCTATTATTGATCTTTTCTGATCGATAGAACGGAAATGGGCGATTACGACGAAGTAGCGCTCTACCAGCTATTAGTAGAAAAAGAAACAAACCAGAAAATACAATTGTATTAGGAAATCAGGCAGTAGAAAATTGTGAACGAGTTAGGGATTTAGGAGTTATAATTGATTCAAAACTAGCATTCAATGATCATTATAATACAGTTATCAACAAAGCAAATACCTAATATGCTTGGCTTTATCAAACGATTCAGTTACAATTTTCATGACCCGTATACAATAAAATCACTGTACATTTCATATGTAAGATCAATACTTGAATATTGCAGCATAGTTTGGTCACCTTTTTCATTCACGCATGAGGAACTATTAGAATCAGTGCAAAAGCAATTCTTACTATTTGCTCTTCGTAAATTAGGTTGGACAAGATTTCCTCTTCCATCTTATGAAGCACGCTGCATGCTCATCAACATTCAAACATTGAAAGCGCGTCGTGAATTTGCAATGGTTTCGTTTGTGAACGATATAGTATCGCATCGAATTGACTCAGTAGAACTGTTATCAAAGCTTAATTTTTACAAACCTTCTCGGCAACTGCGAACTCGAAATATATTTACTACAAATAACGATCGCACAAATTATGCCAAATTTGGTCCACTAAATCAAAATATGACTGCTTACAATAAACATAGTGAAGCTATTGATTTTATAATGACAAAAACCAGATTAAAGCAGTACTTTAATTCTATTCGTAAATTTAACACATGACTTGTAACTTGTAAAAAATGGTCTACATCTGATTGACGACAAAATAAATAAATAAATAAATAAATGAATGCATTATGCAAAATAAACAGCTCACAGCTTCCCAGATCTATCAGCTTCTCGCCACCTTTTTGTATCTCTAGCTTCAATTCACATTGGGCCCATCCATGGACACTTGCAGCAACTTGTTCGAAGAGATACCGGCAAGGGCGTCCATAAACGCAGCGAGTAGATCTGATGCCCGGGATCTTCCCAAAAACATTGACGTCATGCACTGATAAAATTTCAAAGATTGTTTTTATGAGTTCCACACATGATTTTTTGCAATGTGATCAACATAATTTTTTTCCCTGACCTACACTAAAATTCCCTGACATTCCCTGACTTTCCAGGTTTTTCCAGGTAGTCGACACCCTGTATAAATTTTAATAATTGATTTTCGGATGAATGAAAACAAACAAAAATATTTTAATTACTTGTGTCCATTGAAAAAATGGTGCAACCAAAATTTCTTCTGGAAGCATTGAACTACTGGGACCTGCATAATTTGTTGTCGCATTTTGCACACCTTTTCTGTGTAATTTCGCAAAAATCCGTAAAGCTCCTTTGACATGCACTAAATAATGAGAAGAAAAAAAACAAGATCTGAACAACTGCTTCTTTAAATTAAGATGTTATTTATTATTATTATTATTATTTATCTTTATGAGGGAGGCTTTCAGCCTTGGGCTGGTTCGCCTCCACGCGTGTTAATTATTACCATCATCTACTTCCTTGAAAATTCCTGGTGCCAACAGAAGTCCCCTTCCCAAAATTGATGTAATCTCGAAAGCCTCCTCCATCAGAACTGGAGCCGCTTCCAGTTTTTTCATTGTATGGCAAATTGTTGTACGCCAACGAGGGTCAGAGCGCGTCCATTGCAGCAATGGACGCAAAACGTGGTCAGCACTCACACACTCATCACGAAACGGTTGCTTTCCAAAGTCGACGACGCATCGACCGAAAGAACTGCTGATGAAGAACAATGAGGAGGACCACACAATGGTTGCTGTCGAGAAAACAGACGATCGCGTAGCACACATCGAGAGTGGCCTGCTTTTGTCGACAGCCGAGTGAAACTGTGCGTCATGTATCTGTAATTGAAAAGTGAACAATGTGAATTAATGTTACTACATGTAAAACCAGTATAACATTGTAGTAATTTTCAGTTTTACCATTGCGCCATTATATGATGCCAAATGTGGAAGTGTGAGAAGCATTTCTTTCACTCTCTTTTTCTCTCTTAACAGGAGTTGGTGGATAGGGAAACATTCTTCCATTTCTAACTTAATTTCGGTAATGTTGTCTGAATTCGCAATTAGTTCTGCCAGATCTGCAGCTCGTTTTACAAGTGAAGAAGGAATAGAATGACGTACTTTGTTGATAAGATCAGGTCGACTGTACTTTTTAATTTCTTTGGGCAAACCTTTTATGATGTTACGCACTTTATGATAGATATAACCGCCGTGATCACCCTTAGAATTTCCGTTGTGCCACCAGAAAAATGCAGACTGCAAAATTAAACAACAACATAAAATGTGATTCCCTCACCCAATCAATCAACTTGAGCTATTAGTTTACCTCTTCTGGTGCATTTTCGTTCGCCCGTGTGCTTTTCAACTGAGGAAATGTTCGAATCATATGTTTCACCAATATCCTTTGAAGGATAGCTGAAATAAATTAAGGAATATTAAACAGGACGTTTTACGATGTTTGGCGTGATTTGAAATGCGATAATTCAAGAGCAAATTTTCATTACGTCGAAAGTAACAAAGGTAAACAAAGTCGAGCTATCAATGTCAATCGATTCTCCTGCTATTACACTATATACTGTCCGAATATAGGATCAAATCCCATTGTTAAATTTATTTACCAGTCAAATTGCTTTTTGACGTAATCACCTTCCGATCAAAATAGTTTTCGATGTTACTTAAGTCACCCAATTTCTATGGAGATGCCGTTTGACTTAAGTAACAGCGCTGAGAAACCCGTGAAAAGTGTACGTTCGTCGTTTCGCTTTCTCATTATTAAAGTGAATAAGTCGAACTGTTTGTTGCTAAGATGATTTCGGTGGTCCTAAAATGATGAATGGGCTGCACGTAAGGAGACGTAATTGATAATTCTCCCGAATATCCTGGTAAATACACTTTGACTTAAGTAAAAATAGGGGCCACCAAACGACGTATAATAACTTTTGACTCAAAAACCAGTATTTTTAGCATGAAAGCTAGCGATTTGCATTTGTATGATTAAAACCCTGCTAAATATGTTAAACATTGCTATCACTATGAGATTATATGTGTTTACTTGGAAATAGGAATAACTTTTCGGTCATCAAAACAAAACTTTATTTGTCTCGGATTGGTGCGAATGTTACTTACGACATAATGAAAATTTGCTCTTGAATTCACCCTTTATTGTCGTAAATCGATTTTTCGAACTGATGACGACACAAGATACTACACATCTCACGCAGATGTTTTTCACTGGGTACTTTGTTTTGATCCAGCTCATTGTAAACAACAAATCGGAACTTTGCGTCGTCGAGAAGGACAGCTCTCAGCTTCTAAAATAATAAAATGAATCAAAACACCATTAAACCAGTCGTGCATGTACAGATGTAAGTACCTCTTCAGGAGTTTTTTTCGATTTCAACCGGGGATGGCTGTGCAGCACGGAGATTTACAATTGAAGCAAGTATTATCTTTCGAGGTCCTTTGGCTGTGATTGCTATATATCGATTAGATCTGCGTCAATCGGCGCCGGTGATGTAGTGGTAAGCGTGATTACCTCTCACCCCAGTAGGCCTGGGTTCAATCCCAGTCGGCGCCGCCGAGATGTTCTGAGGCATAACATCTCTGATCACGCCTTCCTTCGGAAGGGAAGTAAAGCCGTTGGTCCCCGGTTCATGAGTTGATGGGTCGATAGGTAGGGTCCAGGTGTGGGAGCTGCCTCCCTGGCGTCGGTAGCATTGGTGCTCAGCACGGAAAACAAGATCGACGGAAAAACAAACCAAAGGAAAAAAAATAGATCTGCGTCTTCAAACATCAGTAGAGCCCGATCGGTTACCTTGTTAGCTGGAAGCAAAATATGTATGTACTTAGTGTCTTTAATGCATCAAGTTTAAAAACAATCTTTTAGAAGCTGTTCATAAACCACGTCGACCGTTTTTTTTTTCTCTGCGTGAAAAAACGCACCGTGCACTTGTCGAACAACGTAGGGGTAAGAGGACCGTAATTATTTTTTTTTTTTGCTTTATTAGAGAGATTTTCAGCCTTGGGAGAGGACCGTAATGAGCATCACGTACTCCAGCTTCCAACCGTTCAAAACAAATTAATTGGTAGAAGGTTCAATGCCATAATGATTTTACACCTACTGTAGGAATTACAGCTACCTACTATCAATTTATTTGTTTCGAACTACTAGCAATCCAAATCCAAAGTACAGGATTGTAACCGACTGTTACAAATTGTTAGTATTTTTTTATCTGTGCTTTTATTTTGTGTACAGTCACGTCTCTAGAGTTAAGTGGTGTTGGATTAAATGTAGGGTTAGTAGTATGGCTAGTAACTGTTAGTAAAAATGTACCTATTGTCTATTAAAAATGTTATAGGCTAGTAAATGTTAGTAAAAATATACCTAGTATCTATTAAAAATGTTATAGGTTAGTAGAATTTGAATTTTGTACAAAATAAGTGGGGTGAATCGCATGCAAGCCAGTGGGTACAACAACTAAAGGATAGAAGAGTAGACCAGCAGGCGAAGTGGGTCAACATTTACAAAGGTGGTGATAACAAACCCCCCCATCCCCCCCCCTCCAACCTCACAGACAGCAACAAAGAAGCTACAACGGGGTTGATGAGAATAAGGAGGAGCGCCATTGCTCATAAAGTTACAGGCGTTCGTGTGCACAAGAGCCAAATTTTAAAGTGTCCTTCACATTGTTAAGTGAGTGGTATCCAGCGAAAAAGGGAGAAGACGGCGGATTCGTCAGGTACGCTAATGACCTATCCTACGCTTAAAAACTAACTAAATCTAGCTCACTACTAATGACTAGAAGATTAGTACGGCTTCTCTAATACCTCCCGTTACCCTCACAGGACCTTTTTGTAATCTGTAAATTCGACTGAAAGTCGCCATTTTGTCTGGTGAGAAGCTCGACCAGGTGCACACGATTCGGCGTAGTAGACCTCGGTTTGCTACGTCTAACCGCAAAGGACCAATCCAACCTCTGGGTGGAGGCTTTTCAAGCTCGGGGGCGAAACCCCTAAACGTAAAGGAGCCTTCCCCCTCTTGACACGGTCACTCTGGTATCGTCCTGGGCCGTGTCAATCTCCGTCAACGAGGGAGGACGCCTGAAAGGCTTACACAGCCACATACCATTGACAAACCCCGCCAAACCATCGTGCGGTAACAGTAATTACCCACTGTTTTGGGAATTAGCTTGCCAGCTCGTCATCAGCAGCAGTAGCAGCAGCAGCAGCAGCAGCAGCAGCGAGTGCTCGCAGGACGCCAGAATAAGCAGTGGTACGTACCGAAGAACAAAGTTAATTTTATCCACACCCACAATTAGAAAAATAGACTACAGAAATCAAACCCAATCCCACCATCACACCAATTTGTTAAAATAAAAACCCTCACAGTCAAAGTTAATTTTTAAATCAATAAATTCACACTACATAGTATTTCTAGTCAGGTGACCGTACGCTGCACGTTTTGTCCGTGAAGTTCCTCGAGATTACCAAGTAGTAAGCCGATCCTGAGACCCAGTTCGAGGGGTCTCTTGCTACTGAACTTGCCGGGAAAAACGAACAGTTACAGGATGCTCACTATACCCCACCTGTTTACTATGCAATTCACATCCACAATCCACATTGACTGTTTACTATGCCTCTCTTTCCCCTACATCGTGGTTTAGGGACAGATTAAATAGTCAAAAACATATGTTTTACATTATTGCGTGTTCACGAACACCCATTGCATTTGCTATACCATTAACTAACCTGTTCTATGTTTCTTAGAATTGAAGTGATTTGATGTTCACTTTTTAATCGTCGTAATATTTTAGACTAATGTACAAGCAAAGTTCATCTACTCCTGATCGTTTCCATAAACCGTAGGACTTTCTCGAACAAATCTTTAAGCTTGAAACTCTGGCTAATTCATTGCTGCATTTTACTTCCAAGCTGTACATATCCTCACTAAATTGGGACACGATTAGCTTTTGAATTACAAATGTAAATTCTTCGCCACGGCCTACTATTAATTCTATTATACCGTATTGTTTGTTATCACACACTTCATATTTTACTATCATTCCTGGACGAAAACTAGTGCTGTCGATTATTAAATGGTTGATGATAGTGATGCTGGGAGGAAAATCAAAAAGGATTATTGAAAATTGCAAACAAGACTTCTCTATTTCTTGAGTCTTCATGACGGTGTGAACTTTTGAAGCATAATTATGCTTAATAATAGAGTGGGTTTGTTTTAGATTCATTCTGGTCGCGATGCTGTAAGTAAGATTTTTTAAATTGTTACAAGTTTTGCTTTGCCCTTTGGAAATTTTAAATTTGGCCTCAAATGCAAAACAATTGGGTAATGATCCGTTCATTAGGATAAGCTCTGGGTAATGCGATAAATGGTGTATTTTATTTATTGGATTTTTATCAGGGAAGCATATTTTGAACAACTGATGGAATTGATGAATTGCAAGCTCGAATTCGTGAATCTCGTCTAAACGAAATTTGTTAGAAAATGAGTAAAAGTTGATTTTGAGTAGAACACTTATTATTTTTACAACATTTTGATCGATAGAAATGAATGTATGAAACATGTACGGGAAAGCACGCAACAGAAGCCAACATTGTGATGCTGATTGAGGAATTGAGTTAGCTCGGGACTTGAGGATAGTTACAGAAAAATTTGCTGAAGGTTTGCTCTCTATTTCAGATAAGCCATAATCAAAATCTTCAATAGTTTGATTAATTTGTTCACATGTTAGAATTTTTCGAACAGTTACCAGATTTCGCAGTATTAGCTTGATGATCATCATATTAACACCTTCACATAAGTCGTGCATAGGGTCCATAGACCTGTCCTTACCATAATTGAAATAGCCTATAGTATTCAAACAGCATTCCTCAATCAGTCCACATTGATTTTTTGTTTTGCTGAAATCACGAATTGATTGCAAATCAGTGTGAATCTATTCTGAATCTGGTGTTCTATGAGGAAAACAATCTCCAAAATGTCCATCCCTGAAATCATCACGAGAAGTATAGCAAACCCTACAAAATAATTTAGATTGAGGGCCCATAATGTTTAAAATTTCGTGCAAAGCAGCAGTATCACCGACCACATTTACCAATACAGCGTGTAAATTGTAGTAAATCCCACCTATCTTTAATTGAATGCCTGTCTCTAGAGCTTTGAGATCATCAAGTAAAGGTTGTAAAACTTGAGAATACCCATACTTTTTCAATACACTAGATTGAACAGTGAGAGTTAAATATACACGATCAAGAGTAGAGTCCACAATAGGATCAAAGTTCTGAATTTTAAAGCTTATATTTGTCAATTTCTTTTTTCCTTTTCGTGAGGCCAACGGGTTCAAATACTCAACTTCATCTGAATGCAATAATAGTCTCAGCACACATGGATAGTCTTTAAATATATCATGACTCTTAAAAAGCGAACCATCTTTGAAACCACTTATCAATTTGTCATGTGCCGTTTCAGCTAGCACACAAGCTCTTGCTTCCGGACTTCTCATAACAAGCTCAAGGATCTTGTTAACCGGTATGTAATGTGCTACATCCTTTACATTTCTTGATTTACGTATCAATGTCGTCCGCCCATACTTCAAATGAGCTGAGCGATGAGGAACTAGTTTAGTAACCTTTCGGCTGCCAAACACGATCTCTCGGACTGTTGGTACCAAACCATTCGACTTATAGGCCAAGTAGGACAAATTGTTTTGTGGTGTTCTGACATCAGCGAACGGGTCCTCGAGTCTCAACGAATTTACAAGATCAACTAAATCTTCGTCTTTTTCATTGATATCCTTCTTTATCGTAAACTGCTTCAAATTACCCAGTACGAAACGTTGGTAAGTATTGAGAAAACTTGTCGTTGCATCCATCATAGTTGTCAGCTTGCTCTCCGGTAAACTAACGTCGCAGCGTAACTTCGTTATCAGTTCAACAGCCTGATTTTTTATTTCGGTTATATCTATGGCATCGCAGAAATACATGGGATTAACAATATCCCCGACTATGTTTTGTGCATCATCATCTGTTTCTGAGGCGATGTTCAACTGAACTGGACCGGACTCCACATCCGCTGCAGCTTCTTCTTTTATCATAACCTCACCAGTCGCTGTTAGTTCTTGATGTTTTTTAATGATATGTTTCCGATAATTTGTATAAAAATAAAACACAGCATGGCAATCCTCACAGGCAATGGGGATGTTATTTCTTTGACTGCACCGTATATTGTGATGCGATTTTAAATGTTTTTTTTTGTAAATTTGTTCGTCACCAACAACAAACACTTGACAGCCCGGAATGCGGCATTGAATGCCTGAATAATTGAAAGTTGAGGCTAAATTCAAAATCAAGAAACATACAAAATACTTACCAACTAGCTGGTGATAACTTTCGCCATCCAGGCTGTTACGTAGTTGCTCCATGTTTCTGCTTAACTTCGTATAACTTATTTTTGACTAACTGCATGCACAAAAGTTTTCTGTTCACTTTGAAGTTGTGCGCCATTTTGAACATTGGAAAAATTGCTAACAGAATCATTCACCCAGAATCAGGGTGGATTCCACTCATCGGATCAAAACCAGTTTACCCATTTTTTGACAACTCCATACATTATGCAAAAATGAGTGCGATCTACCCAGTCACTGAGTAGCCTCAAAATAGCGTGTGCACTAACCAACCTGCCGTGAAGTGAGAGATATGTGAGAAGCGAGATGTACACTGTACCAAAACATCATCCTCTGTTCGAATGAAAATTGAATCGAAACATTGAAATCGCTTTTTCGAATGATGGCTGCTACCGGATGACGGTTGTTTTGTAATCAGATGATGCTCCTCTCGAATACAGGGTGGACATTGATACGGGAAGCAAACGGATCTCAGTTGACATACGTAATGCTCTTTGTAAAATGATTGTCATCCCAAATTGAAATGTTTGCCGTCAGACATTGGAAGCGGAAAACTTTTGCACTTTTCCTGATAAATTGATTCATCTGAAATGCTCTAAAACTTTAGCTATAGTTGAAAAAATTAATACTTGCAAGGATTCTGCGGGGGCCTCCCTTAGCTCAGTCGATAAAGGCGCAGCTACAAAGCAAGACCATGCTGGAGGTGGCTGGGTTCGATTCCCGGTTCGGTCTAGGAATTTTTCTGGTTGGAAAATTTCTCGACTTCCCTGGGCATAGAAGTATGATTGGACTTGCCACACAATCATATCAATGCAAAAATGGTACAGGCATCGAAAGCTCTCAATTAATAACTGTGGAAGTGTATCTAGAACACTAAGTTGAGAGCACGCAATAAGCTAATATGCGATATGCAATAAGCTTGAAATGCGAAGAAGAAGAAGAAGAAGAAGAAGGATTCTGCGTTCAGGGACATTTTTGTTGATAAAAATGCAAAATTCCCAAGGGGTGAGTCACTCAGCACATTGTGCTGAAATTAGCTTGGGCACATCCATCGGCACACCTTTGGCACAATCACGTAGGCATTGAATTGTTGTAAATAAAATGGAGCACTGTTGGACCTGGGACGGGACTTGACAATCGGGTAGCGATTTCGAGCCAATTTGCTGTCAAATCCGAGCCAGTTTCTGATTGGTCGATTTTACAGTAGCAATCGTGGAATAAAAAGGACAGAGAGATCGCATCAATCTGGCTGGCAGTGATGCCGAAATCAATGTTTATACTTATTTATTTATGACTGAACATCAACAGGGGTTATTTGCCCCAATGATGTAACTTAAACTAAACATGAAAAGTACTAAAACAAAACATCAATTTTTTTTTTTTTTTTCCTTTATTAACGAGATTTTCAGCCTTAGGCTGGTTCATCTCTAGAATACAAAACATCAATAAGTACATAGATAGTCATGTCGTAAAAAAAGGAACATTACTGAACAACTGATCAAGAAAAAAAAAAACGAACAAAACCTCCGGCGAAGCAGCTGGCGAGTCAGGTCAAAATCAAACAGTGCGGAGACCCTATTGAAGAGTCTCTGTAAACCACCGATTGCTCCGAACATGCTATAATTAGTTCGCTGTATGGGCAGGCGCAGCATTGAATTATTCCGTAGGGCTCGGGGTTGAACATTGATGTCAATTTGCTCAAGGAGGACAGGGCAATCGATGCGTCCTTGAAAAATATCCGCAATTAGCAATGCCGTTGCTGTATCTCTTCGGACCGACAGGCGCTCCAGATGGATCAGTTGCAAACGACTTTCGTAGCTAGGCAATCGGAAGGGATCCGTCCACGGCAGTTTACGTAGCGCATATCTCAGGAGCCGTCGCTGAACAGACTCAACTCTTTCGACACCGTTGTTGTAGTGAGGAGTCCAGACAACCGAGCAGTATTCTAATATGGAGCGAGACAAGGAGCAGTACAACGATTTAAGGCAGTAGATATCCGTGAAGTCTTTGGCAATCCTGAAATTAAACCCTAGAATTCTGGAAGCTTTGTCAACGGCGTGCGAGATGTGCTGCTTGAAAGAGAGTTTTGTATCCAAAATCACGCCTAGGTCCTTAATTTGGCTGACGCGCTCAATTTCAGTGCCTAACAAAACATACTTGAACGGGTGCACGACGTTAGGCATACGGTCGTTAGGCATACGGACGTTAGGCATAATGTACGATAGGCATAATGGACGTTGGGCATAAAGGACGTTAGGCATAATGGACGTTAGGCATAATCTACCGGATGAATTCCAGAAGGATGATAATGGAGACCGTCTATTGATTGCTGACTTCGGTGACAATAATGAAAGAGCCTTAATTTTTGGAACTCATGAACGACGTCTTGGACAGGCAAAGTATTGGGTTACAGATGGTACGTTTGCCACAGTTCCTTGTTTGTTTCGGCAACTCGTCACTGTTCATGGAAGTATCGCTCCCTCACATCAGCAGACGGTTCCGCTAGTTTTCATTCTGATGACCACAAAATCAGAATCGTTGTATCGAAAAGTATGGCAGGAAATCCTGGAAGCAGCAGGTATGTTTTTTTGTTATTGAATGAAAAACCACAGAATTAACCATTCTTGATTTCATGAGCTGTTCTTTGGCATCATATTTTATTCAACTTTGGCTGTTTTTTTGTTATTGAATGAAAAATCACAGAATTCACCATTCTTTATTTCATGAGCTGTTCTTTGAGGAAAACCTTTTCTTCTTTGACTTTTGCAATATGTGTGTAAGAATATATTACAACAAATGTGTGATTTTTTTATTTTTAGATGCGATTGATTTCAAGATATAGTTTAAAACTAAGCTGAGTTTTCATTGTAAGATTACTTAACCACTATCGCTACTAATCATGGATCTAAGTAAATATGTAGATACGTCACTTATGATATGATAAATAATGGATTCCAAACTGTGCTTATTAAATAAACTATGTTTGTTTAACTTGTATCATTTTTTATTCAACGCTAAGCCTAATTTAAGCATTGTTTACAGGTTTACAGGTTAAGCAGGTTTCTAGAGTTGCACAGCAGCAAGGTATTTTATGCCTAACGTCCATTATGCCTAACGTATATTATGCCTAACGTCCATTATGCCTAATGACTTTATGCCTAACGTTCATTATGCCTAACGTCCGTATGCCTAACGTCCGTATGCCTAACGTATTTATGCCTAATGGGGTACACTCATACTTGAACATAATAGTCTCTTTCTTGCGCGAAAAAGAAATAACTGAGCATTTGGACGGGTTAACATCCATACGATTCAGAATACACCAATCAGCAAAAGCATTCATCTGACGTTGAAGGAAGCAACAGTCTTCAATTGAGTGAATTCGAAGGTGGAGTTTAAGGTCATCTGCGTAAGATAATCGTGGTCCCTCAATTACCAGATTCACGTCGTTGAAATAAATCAGGAAAATCAGCGGTCCGAGGTGACTACCCTGGGGTATGCCGGACGTGTCAGAGAACATACGGGACTAGTGATCACCAATGACAACAGTAAGATAGCGATCGGTGAGGTACGACTGAAACCATTGTAAAAGGCAGAGCTGTGGATACCAAGCCTGTCCAGTTTAGCGATTGATATGCGGTGATTCAATTTATCGAAGACTGTAGATAAGTCAGTATAAATGACATCCGTCTGAGCACGATCCGACATACTGTTAGAGATGAAGGAAGTAAGGCACAGCAAGTTAGTGGCAGTGGAGCGACCAGCCATGAAACCATGCTGGTCGATACTAATATACAGTGAGCGAGTAACGGTTCCATAACAACGAGTTCGAACAATTTAGCAACAGCGCTAAGCGAAGTAATGCCACGGTAGTTGACAACGTCCTGATTGCTGCCTTTCTAGTGTACTGGAAACATGTGCGCTAGCTTCCAACAGGATGGGAAAACACCGACGTCCACAGACCGTTGAAAAACGTGCAGCAGTGGAGACAACAAACTGTCCAAGTGCGTTTTGACGAACGCCGATGGAATTCCGTCAAGACTCGGATTATACGACGACTTGAGTTTGGAGGAAGCCCTGAAAAACATCTCGGGATTGATGTCAATTCTGCTCATGGTTTGGCCAGAGAGTGGTACGTAACTGGCAGCCAGTCGGGCATGGTCGTCACTCAGTCTCTCGTCCGTGAAGACACTAGCTAATTTTTCAGAGAACAGCTGACAACATCTTGCGTAGATGAGGCCACGTTACCATTATGTGTCATAGACGACGGCAGACCAGCTTCAAGACATTGTGCGTTGACAAACTTCCAAAACTGCTTGGGACGTGACTTAAGCTTTCTCTGCAATCCACGTCGATACTGAAGAAAGCACCGATCCGCAACTCGTTTGTATGCGTGATTGATCCTGACATAGTGACGTTGAAGGGATAGTGTGCGGTGCTTGGTGAACTTCCTAAGAGCGGCTCTCTTTCTGGATTTCAATCGACGATATTCGCTCGTATGCCATGGTCGTATGATGGTGAATCTTTTTCGGGACGTGTCTGTCAATGATATATGCCAAGACATTGGAAATAGTTTGAGAGGCGGACTCAATGTCAACGGTGTCCAATAAGTCGTCCCAATTTAACTTGGAGAGTAACTCGGTGATACTACCATGGTCGGCGTTGCGAAAATCGTAGGAAACGGTGGTAGGTGAAATATTAAAATCATATGCATCAGCTTAGTACTTAACGTCACCAGTAGCGGTGGATGGTGACGATCCAGTCTCACCAGAGGAGTGGGCGCCTCGCATAGGAAAGGAGCCATGTCCTGGGCGCTTACAAAACAAAGATTCAAACTGCGGTTGTTCTGGTTAATAAAATGGTTGATTTGAGAAAGAGTGGCTGAGCTGTAATTGTCCAGAAGGAGCGAAGCGTAAGAATGGATGACAAAGTGATCCATGGCAGGATAGAGGAAGCCGTTGCGAGTTTTTTTTTTTTCATGAAATCCCCGGGAGATTGAAGTTACCAAACACAATAAC